CACTCAAAACGCCGTGACAAGAGATTAGTATCTGCTGTTCTTCAGTCATTTTATTTTACTCCATATAAGGCAGACTTCCTTAAGATGAACTGCCTCGTCCCCAGTCGCTCGCGATCACTTTTTTGGGGGATAACTGAGTTAATTATTAAGGAAAGCTGGGACGAACGGAGTGATGGGAAGGCGAGAAAAAGCCCTCTCTCTCATTTTCCTTCTCATCACTCCCCGCTCGCGGTCTACGCTCGTTCCCATCATCCCCCTCTTGCGCTTCTCGCTTGTCTCCAGCTCTCGTGAATAGCCGTTCCCCACTGAGCCTTGGGAAAGCCTGTAGAGGTGGCAGAAAGATAAATACTAATAGACAACTTGCAGTCACGTGAACTCCGGGTCTGGAACAGTAAGCCAATTCCGTGTTCGATACTTAAACCCCTACTTTCGAACGAGGCTAAGGGCAAACCTTTTCTTGTGATAATGAATTTCATTTGCCTGAGAATTAAAAAAAAATCATTTACATGTCGATGATGACTTCGCCCGTCGCCTCGCTTTGAAACAGAGGCTTGGGACGACTCAGAAAGGGCCTATTCCTGATTTCTATAGACATTTCATTATAATTAAAATTGCTGGAAACCCTGTTTCACAGCTGCACAATTCCTTACATGCATTTACTCGTCATCTCTTTGTATTTCAGTCTTTCCGTCAATCCAATCCGAGTTGCCATCAGTTATTCGACCCCTTGTGGGCTCAAATGTCACAATAGACTGTCGAGCTTCAACTGGTGACGTCATGTGGTATCACAATGCAGTCAGCGTTTTGTCCTTGTCAAGACCAACGCTATCTGTTGTTGCTAATGGGAGCCTCTTGCTGCAGAACGTTTCACAGATCGATGATGGTTTCTATCAAGCGTTTGTCAGGACGTCAGTGCACGAGATCGGCTCACAACTTGTTACCCTTCATGTAAAAGGTCGGTATGTAGGACTCTCTCCTGGTGCATATTTCCTACACAACACTTGAGTTGCCCACGTCTTGACTGCCCAAAAGGAAACCGGAAATGGTGTGTTGTTCAAAGCCTAGCTATCTCATTGACAAATAACTCGGCCATGTGCGTCAAACTTCTCTTTGCCTAAGGTCTCGCGATCGGATTGTAAAGAAAAGTTTGAAATTCATGATAAAACGTTAAATGCGAGGGACTTGAATTATTACAAATTTAGATTAGATAGAGATATAACTTACCACACTTGTGTTACAGATAAAAAATTCCAGCAGCCGACGACTTTGGCTCCTGTGTCAACAGCTTCTACAGGAAGTTCCATTACAGACAATTTCGATGTTTCAAGGTCTCCTCCTGCATACCAGACCACGAATGACAATCACATGACACAAATACCACCAATAACCAACACATCTCTAAAGTCCCAGTCAACAACCGGAAGTCACGTGTCAGAACAGCCGTCATCTACAAGGTTGCTGTACCAAAAGCAAACTACTGCAGGCTCACTTCTACACGATCGAACGGCAAATACACGTCATAATGGTTAGATCTTTCGTCCTTACTTTAAAAAAAGGTTTTTAAAGGGGCCAAGTTCATTTTGCGAACAATGGCAATTATAGCAGTACTCGTCCTTATTCACTGTTGAGGCTTAAGAAATTACTTGTTAATGAAAAAATCACAGCCTCGTGTCAAACATGTCTCCTAGGCATTATGTCGAACGTTTCAAATAACAAAAATGAACTTTGAAAAACTGTTAGCTAGCCTAACAATTTTTTAAAAATCACAATAGCAATACGTTTCAATCTTCTTCAAGTTTGTTCATCCGTGTCTTGGTATTTTGTGTGATTATTTATATCTTCTTTCAATGTTTGAGCGGTTATTTTTGTCTCACCCCGTTTGGTGGCAGTTTCCACTGTTTGAATTTTGATAAATTTCGTGAACTTTTATCAGTCATACATTTCCTTGATCCCGGGGGGGGTACTCCTGGGAATTCTTGGTGTGGGTGTGTCGCCCGGTTCTCCAAATCCTGACCCTATTTCAGACCAAAAAATGTCATCTTCCACACCCGTTTTCAGACCAGACCTCTAAAATTCATACCCTTTTTCCGACCTGGGCTTAAGTTACTGAAATTAGAGCGCAAACAAAATAATTCTTCAAATGCATTTCGAATTCGCATATTTCTATTTAGTTCTTATTCATCTGAAATTGAAACGATAACTACGTTCATACGCTCCCTTAGTTCTCTCGAAAACCATACCCGATCCCAGACCAAAATGGGCAAAGTGTATACCTGTTTTCAGACCAAAAAGGCCCAAAAACCATACCCTTTGGAGCGGCACATACTTATATGGCTTACATAAGGGGGTACCATCCCCCCCACCCCCCACCAAGGCGCTTGATACAGGTTTGCAGAATTAGTGACCCATGAGGGTGTAAAGGTCTCCCTCTCACCGCTAACATTCTAATTTGATGGCATGAAAGAACCTGTAAAAATGTTTAAGTAATATAACTTTCAATATTAGCATTGCTATTTTTAAACGAGAGCAAACTAAAACGTTTGATAGTGAGATTCTCAGTTCCAATACAAAAAGTTTATGGATCAATTTAGGTTTCCGGGAAACTGCCCACCTACCCCTTCCCTAAGTCAACATTAACGCGTACTTCCCACTTAGGGCAAAATGTTGGGTTAGGGGAAGGGTAGGTGGGCAGTTTCCCCAGAAAGCTAAATTGATCCAAGTTTATATTAGTGTATATTATTTATTTTGCAGAATTTTTTATTCTCTTCAACATTTTTTCTGACTACTTTTAGGAAAAATGATGTTTGTATATGGAAGCGTGGCAGGAGGTGTTGCATTCTTGCTGCTTATTCTACTTGCTGTGATCTGCTACAAAAGACAGGCCAGGGAAAGGTAATTGTTCGCACGCAGCTGTTGCCCAGAGTAAGGGAATCAAAGACAGTCTTGAATGCTGGATTCCGTGCCGTAGATTACGGATTCCAGGTACTGGATTCCGTATTCTTTGCCAGTGGAACTTGGACCCCGGATTCCAATCGTTAGTGGAATTCCAGATTCCTTAAGACGTATTCCAGATTCCAAAGCGCAGGATTCCGGATTCTACAAGCAAGGATTTCCCTAGCCTGAGAAAACAGCCGACATTTGTCGACGCTACCACTGGTTTTCCCGCCAAATGGCGTCTGAGAAACGAGCGCAGAAATCCCATACTGATGCCGCGTCACTACCCAGATCTGGGTAGTGCTTCTGATCGGTCGTGCCGCGTGGGAAATTTGATTCAACCAATCAGAAGCACTACCCAGGCGTCATCAGTATGGAATTTCTGCTCTCGTTTCTCAGACGTCATTTGGCAAGAAAACCAGTGGTAGCGTCGCCAAATGTCGGCTGTTTTCTCAGGCTAAAATTTCCCGGAACTCCTGAATCCGGATTCCCTTACTTGGAGCGACAGCTGACCCAATTCTTTCAAGTTTAAATACTATGTCATCCTCCGGGGCCATTAGCCATAAGCACATCTGGAGCATTGTTGGTGTATGCCAGTGTGATGAGACGCTGACAAACAGTGGGCCTTATTTTTTAATTGCTTCCAATGGCTCATGTTAAAAAACGACAGGGCGTGGATTCACTCCATACTGATTCTTTCACATTTAATGTTTAATTGTGAATGCTAAACAAATTTTATAGAAGTGTGTTTGACCTGCCATTTTTTATCAATGTCAGTCGTGTCAAATTGCTACGTAGTACAACCTTGTTCCCCAAGTTCTTTCCTACTAGTTCCCCGGAGCACTCCGGGGGAAGAGTAGGAGAGAACTCTGGGAACAAGGTTGATCGAGGTTTGCTCTATGGTGTTGAGTGTTCCGCGCAACCTGAAATTGGCCAGTAGAGAGGAGAAGCCGTTGGGTCACGTCGCCATGGTAGCAAAAGTTCGGGATCTCTACAAACCGTGGTTCTGCAAATGTGGCAGAAATAAACGAAAAGAATGACATGTTCGACTTGGAACAAACACACCGGTCGCCCATACTATTCTCCCATCGCTCGACAATGCAAATAGCCGACTCTGTCAAGAAAAATTATTGAGATCCAGAGATTTTGTTACCAGGGTAACGTGACGTCAAACTTCCCCTCTCAAAAGAGCCACATTAAAGAATCGATGATGCACGTTGATAAGATCTAAACCAATAGTTTGATAAGTATAGTTTCAATGATTACATTGCAGCTATTTATTTCCACAGACTGAGACAGGGAAGCGTAAGACTGAAAAGCGACCCTGATATTGATTCTGAAGAGTTTGAAATGAGACCAATTGAACCCAGGTGCTTAAACAGTTTATGATTAAAGTAAATAAATTTTAATTTCTTTCTTTGGCCGGGAAATGATATTTGGTCCTTGTTTTGTTCAGTATGAAGGAGTACTTTTATTACAGAAATGGTTTAACATCGCCCCATGTACGTAAATCACCGAATCCGGAAGCCGGAAAAATTTTGTATGTGGAATCCTGAATCCTGGGCTTGGAATCCGGAATACAACTCAAGGACTGTAGAAGTCCTACTAAAGATTGGAATCCGGAATCCAAGTTCCAGTGACAAAGACTGGAATCCGGAATACACGGCATGGGATTCAGAATCCAAGACTGTCCTGGATTCACTTACATGGGGCAATTAAGAACTTTAACTAACATCCTGCTTTACGTTAACTTTCTTGTAGAACCACGTCTCCTCCAAGACCAATCGCAGGTAAATAGACCTGAAATGAACACTATCTTAAGCTCAAGTTCCTTTTCTTTTAATTTATATTAAATTACCTGGCTCTGGCTCCTTGGTTTTTATTTATGACGTCGTTCGAAGTATTTACATTAACTCCGCTTCTGTTTAGGGCGAAGGTTTAGAAATTCTGAATCAACCCAAGACTTGCTACGACGAGGCAAATCACTTGAGCGCCGAGTGTCCCTTGACTCCAATGAGAACCAGTTCATTGTGTCATTTGGAGTTGAGGACCATATGTCTGCCCATGTGAACCCAGTGCTGACCATTGGTGAGTACGGACGTCCCTCATGCTTGATAGCCTGTGGCGTTGGAAAGAGAGAAACGAGAGAAACCAAATGGGCGCGCGAGAACGCACATTTTAAACGCCTTCTACCAAGGCTGCATTCCTGATTCATTCGTATATCTAGAGCTTTTCTTTCTCCTTTGGCGTTTTGAAAAATGCAATTGAGAAAGCGTTGAGTTATGAAGTTTTAGGTTTTGCCTGTGTATTTGCTACAAGACATCAAAATTTTCCTAAAGTAGCAGTTAAGGAGCACAAGAAATATCTAACGCCTATTCTTGAAAGGCCAAACTTATTGTTTGGCATTGTATCCTTAAATCTATGTTGCTCCCTTACGGTGATTTGCGTTCGTTTTGATCGCGCACGGTTGCTAAAAGCAATTGTTGCTTTGTTGAACTGTTTTGGAGCAGGCACACACATACGTGTTTTTATCATGCGCTGAGTTTTTAATTGCAAACTTGATTCCTCGGTTGTCTAGAGCCTTTTATTTAGCCTGCATAGCAAGGGCGGGGCTCTCGAGCTGACTCGCCTCGTATTTCTTGCCGCTCCATCTACAAAACGCTGGCCAATAAAACACTCTTGTGCGTCAAGTCACTCCATCTGCGCAGACCCTTTTTTTATTCTAAAAGCACTGAAAACTCCTTAAAGCTCGCTCTGATCGTCAATTATGTATGAAATATAGAACATTTCCTTTGATACCATGTTCTACGATCATTTTGATTGGTCATTACTACGTAAGTGAGTAAGGTTTGTTTATGTTTATTTCAGAACTTGAATCGATTCCTCCGCCCCTTCAGCACACAGATATTGTCCTTTGCGACGATTCGTGGCAAAGATCAGAGCCAGAACAAGCACTAGTATTTAACGAACAAGACTTAGATGACTTAAATGACAGCGGCATAGAAGAAGAGGCTTGCTATAGCCCAAGAAAATTTGCGAATGAAAATACGCAAAGCGGACTTAAACCCGTCCCTCTCTACGCAGTCGTTAATAAATCGTCTGTAGACAGAAGCAATGCTAACGTTACCACTGAGGGCCAGGCAACCGAGCCGTTCTATCGTATTTTGGAAGGACCTGGGAATGATTCAGAAGCATCGGAGGAGAATTGGGATGAGCGAATCAAAACAGCAAGTTTTTATCAGTCTCTGATGCAGTGTAAGCAGGATATTCCTGAAGAGAAAAATGGGACATCCAATCAAGAAAATGTGCATGGTTTCACAGAAGGTCATGCCATGTCCAGGAATTCAATTTATCAGTCCCTTTCTCCGCCCAAGCGTGACGACGTGTCAAATGAGAACCTCGACTTGACTGAAGATGAATCAAACCGAGTAAAGAATGTTCAAAAGGAGTCTACAGGATTTTATCAACCTCTATTAAATAGAAGTGAAGGTCGATCCCGTTTACATCTACACAGTGATAGGCCCCGGTCAGTTTCAGGTGTATATCAGCCACTTAGAAGTGATTCTGATAATATTGAACCCCTCGTCAGGTGTTTCTCTGCCCCTGCACAGGAAAACCCAGGAGATGTTCATCCCATGCGCCCTAGATCTGGGAACGAGAAAGGTTTGTCAGAACCCATCTATCACACAGTAGACGATGATGATGACTCTGACCGTTGTCCACTGAATCTAGATGACCCAGGAAGTTCTTTCCCTTCTTCCGGGAGACGCACATCACGGGGAAGCCTTACAGCCCAGCAGAGAACAATCCACGAGCCATTATACATTGCAGTTCAAGTGACGCCCACACGATCAAGAAGAACATTCAACGGTAAGCAGGAGCCAAGGTATAGTCCATCACCTGTCCGCAAAAACGCCGCGACTCTTAAGCCAACTTCCAGAGGCCACCGGAGGAATTTAAGTGATGTTGGTCGGGCTTTCCCGATAACGGTCGGCAGTATGGGTGCTGACGGCAGAAGTCCGCCTGCTGTACATGAAAGATGCCCAACCAATCCGTTGCCACTGCGTCTCGGGCACCGTCGCAATAGGAGTGATGCAGGGCTCTGTCCAATTGATCTGAGTCAAAAGAATGCGCCAGAGCGGCCGACCTCAAGCGAAAGTAGTCTGTCAGCAACTACAATCCCTCAGGAATCAGGGGATACAAGCTCATCTGTTGGAAGACGAAGTGTAAGCCCATTGCCTCGCCATCCCGGGCACCGTCGGATCAGGAGCGATGCCGGGTTCTGTCCCGTTAATTACAGCCAAGGAAATGTTTCGCGTCGCGGTGAGACATCTGCAAACGAAACTAAAGGCACTGGTGCTATTACTAATCCACGAGCTGAGGGTACAAGCCCACCGGTCAAAAGACCTAGAGAAAGCCAGTTAGTTCGCCACATTGGACAGCACAGAAATAGAAGCGATATCGGGATCGGTACAGTGGAGCCAGGTCAAGGGAATGCATCGCGGCGAATGACTTCGATAAGCGATAGCGGGCTTCCACAAACACCAAGTCTTGGGTCCCCTGAAACTGGCGAATTTTCCAGATCTGCTACTGACGCAACACACTGTAGAGTTTATATCGGTCCATAACAGACTTAAAGTTTTCAAGCGAAAACTAGTTATATCATTATTAATGTTCAATCGAATGAACGGGTAGTTGTATATGACGACGATTATCACAATTGTTCTTGTAAAATCTAAGGATAAAAGGGGAACCACGGGGAAGTATGTGTTGATTTCCTTATTTCGAGTTTTGAATAATTTAGTGTATATCTCCGCGATTTATGAGAGAATTTTTAGAAAAAAAAGTCTGGTTGGTTTGTTTCTAAAATAAGAATTAAGTTTAGAGTGCACATGCTCGAGATTTCTGACAGAATAGTGAGCGCGTGGTAGAGAATAGTTTACCCCACATTGCTCTGTTGTTACCCTCCAGGAAAAGAGTTCATAAGCGATTACATAAGCAGTATTCAAAAAATTAGTTTTGTTCATTTTTAATATTAAACTGAAACATTTTTACGTAATTATTTTCTATTTTAATAAATATAATAAGTTTGCAATGTTATAGTAAATAGCTGTCAAACTGATAGCTGTATATTTGATGATTAAATAGTTCGCCATAAATAAAAATCAACACAGCAGCAATGAACATGTCTAAAAACTGCAACGGTGTCCGTTTACCATACTATGAGCATTTCTGAACTGCTTTTTGCTATTTTTGGCTACCTTTAAGTTACGAATCTAAACATTTTCACATTTGCTTGATGTGCATCACTTTATAATATGACAATATTATAATGACTTCATATGACAGGAGAGTAAAGAATTACTTTCCGAAAACATAGCTATACAAGAATGATTTTGTATAGCTTACTGATATGGAGGCAGCTCCATATCAGGACTATAACTGCAATAGCCACAATGTAAATGTAAATACATCAGTTTGTGAATGTAAACACATTTTTACAAAAACTTGGACTGACCTTTCTTGAGGAAAAAAAATTCTGCAGAGAAGTGAGAAGGCAAAAAAAAATTCTTGCTGAACAAAAAACAACCACCCCGTCTCCACCCCTCCCCCCCCCCCCCCCC